TTACTTGGCATTGACATCAAGATAAAATCAGTTTTAATCATGAATTTTGAAAAAAGGTTTTTCTAGATAAGAATATCTGTAAGAAGATACAACTAGTGTTGTAGGATTTACACTTGCTAAACTAAAAATGTAAACAAAAAAAGTTAAGAAAACTGATGATCAGATACAACTTCAGCAGATAATGTTTTTCTGAAATTCCATTTGAACGATTTAAATGCAAAATGTGCATTCAATTTAACAGTGGTTGTTGATGACATTTTCGAGACACAAAGCAAGTCATGAAATTTGATTTGCTGGTATTTGGAAAAGGTACTTTTCTTAAGATTTTTCAAAACAAAAGCAAGTTCAATTTGAGCAGCAATTGGATTAAAAATCGTTGAAGCCTAAAAATCCTATATATCTGAAAAGTTTTGGTTTCCATTAACACTAAATTAGTTCCTTGATGTTGGAAATAAAATATACATGAAAAGACTTTTTTTTTTTACAATCATTGTGACAATTTCTTTTTAATTTAAAGAATAAATGCAAGCAAATACCTCACTATCTTCGTAAAATAACCACAAAATAAAAATACAAATGACCATATTTTCTGAAACATGGTTATAAAGCTGCATAGTGGACTTACAGTGACTTCCTGGTAGTGTTCCATTCCATTCAAAACCACCTGAATGACCTCCCGCCGCAACCGCACGCTTTGGTCACTCCGGTACTCTGTGTTGGTCAGGTAGAAAAGAGCCGCGCTCCCCGTTACCTGGATGCTCTTGTCATACTTATGGCATTTCAAAGCGGCTATTACAAGCTGAAACAAAAGACAGAAGGGGTTACTCAAGAGGAATAATACGATTTTGAAAAAAGGCATTAGATAGACATGGATAGATAGAAACTTTATTAATCCCATGAGGGAAATTCAGACTGGGAATCTGAACAAAATGATGGAAAAATAAGTCCTAAAAGTTATTTCAACCTTCCTCCCACTTCATACTTGCAAAGCTCGGAGAAGCTGGCTGCAGTGTTGTATCCTGGCTATGTCAAACAGCTGGTTGATGGCCCGGTGGGCCAGCTCAGGGCGGAACTCCGTGTAGGCCTCGATGGCATTCAGAACCTGGTCCTCGTTTTTTGAGCCTGTAACCTGAAAAAATCACCATGCGTGGATCAGATTTAATCGAGAGAAACGTCACAAAGTGCGACTCGTGCAGAGTTTTTCTGATTGGCCAACAAAATGACGTGTGTTACCCAGACAGTTTGTTCTTGTGGATTTCATTGTAATCTAGTGTCTCACATTACAGCCCATTGTGCTATGTGCATAAACTCATGAATAAAACATGCAATACATTAAAAAACTACATAAAAGTCCTATTTTAAAATGGAAATAATACTTTTTTTTTAACAATTGTGAACTAAATAAATAAGTTAAGAACAAAAAAGTGAAGAAAGTAAAGAGAAAAGTACATTTCAAATATACCCGCAACAAGGAACATTAAATCTATAATATATATACAATATTTTATTTTAATTTAAGTTGATTTTCTTTCTCCAAAGCTTACAAAAAAAAGCATTAGCTCTAGATGTACAAAATGAAAAATATTATCAGCATCAGTTCAATTAATTTACAGTCCTTCAAAAAACTACAGAACAAATGATCAAGCCAAATGTTGTGATTGTGATTAGCTTTAGAAAATAATTGCGAACCAGGAAAAGTGACAACAGTTGAGCAGTACCTTGTAAGCAGGGATGTGTGTCACATTGCACAGGGTGGTGTCATACAATCCCAGAAACTGCAGGGGCCTCTTAAGTTCCTGGAAAGGATAGATGCTACTCTTGCATGGTTCAATGCTGAAGGACAGGCAAAAAAAAGGGACTTTGTTATTATTTTTTTCATTATTTATGGAGAAAATATCACAGGCTCTACATATGGATCTTCACCTAGGACGCCCCATAGCCTCTTCAAAATGTGGGACTGTGCAGTTATCCAGCATAATGTGACCTGAGATGTCCAGTGAAACCAGGTTGACCAGTCGTTGAACGATGGCGGTCAAGATTCTCCTGGTCATCTTGAACTTTGTGGTCCGCCTGCTCTCCCGTGAGATGTCCAGATGCCTAAAAAAGGGATGTGGAGTAACGACACAGAGAAATTTGGAAATATATAATGCGATGAATCATTTTCCCATTTGTGATTCGTAAATATTGCTAAATGCCAATTCTAATCTAATCCAATCTATCCTGTATAAAGCATGTGTAAAATGACAGTAAAGATCAAAAGCAAGGCTTTGCGTACATCCACATATATCATTTCAAATGTGGAACGGTTTTACAGCTATTATATCAGTGTGAAACATAAGTTCTTATTTTGACATTTTTCCCCGATAAGTTCTATTCGTAAAGCACTAATTCCCACCAACTGTCTATTTAAGTCACTTTTCAAACATCTGATCTTTGTATCCTATAGATATGTGTAAATGGTCAAGTCCTGAAAAGTCTTAACCCGATTCCTCCAACACAGAAAACTGTTGGTGAGTTAAACTAGTTATTAAGACGAACAGTAAAGAAACTATTATTACATTATAAAATAGCACACATCATCTTATTTAGTAATATGAATAATAATAATAATAATAAATGTTTGCAACTGAATACATTCATCACGGTGCTTGTGTATGAGATACTGTATGTATCTTTAAAAAAGTGTTTTTTTGTATATTAGACTTTCCACAAATTTCACTATCAGTGTGTTATCTGTAAAGCAACACTTACCCATCTGAAACACACAGAAACAACAACACACCACGACATGTCAAAGACGATAACAAGCAGCTCGGCTCATCATTAAGAGTGCTTGACTTGCCTTTTACAACCCACATTACCTGAGATTAACTAGCTCAACCACTGTGTTGACCAGTTCCTCTGACAGGTCCACGTTGTAGAGCACAAGAGACGCCAGTCTTTCTTTCCACTGAGACAGAAAAGCTGTTCCCATCAAGTGTACATTAGACAGGTCTAGAGAGGTGATGGACTTCAGGGGTTTGAGCAGGGTCTCGGCATCCACCTCATCAGGGAGCCCCCCCAGGTTGAGCAGCCTGAGGCGGTTAAATCCTTGGAAACTAAAGTCCGTCTCCAAGGCTTGTCTGGAAGCGGGGCTCTCCTCCTCCTCGTCGTCCGTGTCCTCGTTGCAGGCCAGCGGAGCGCCGCCCTTCTTGTAGAAGATGTGGCTGCAGCCGAACAGGCAGAGGGAGAGCAGGGTCTCGCGGAAGCTGGCCAGCGTCTTCAGGCTGCGGGACGAGAGGCTGTTGCAGTAGGTGAGGTGCAGCTCGATCAGGTCCTGGAAACACACGGAAACCCGGGTCAGCCCTTCTAAACCAGCTGCATCCACGTTAGGGGTGGGACCCAAAGCTTAACCTGACCTCATAAAACCTTCTATTATCATTCATTACCCATAATAACAAGAAAGTCCTCTGAATTGACAAAGAATGAATTGATTAGCATAACATTTTCCTTTGGGATTAACAGAAATATTTATGCTTTTCATTAAATTGAATGTATTTTCATTAAAAAAAAAGAGCAGTTCAGCCATTTATTCTGAATTTCCATACTGCAGCTACTTTAATGGCAATTGATTCTTCATCATCAACATGCAATATCAATATCAAGGCCGGAAAAGCATTAAAAAAAAGAAAGAAAAAAAGACACCGATATCTGATTTTTAGCTTTGTATAATCTCAGCAGGCGATCTACCTTGATACGATATGATAGTAAGAAGTCAGTGTACGAAAGGAACTAAATGCGGAAATTTGAGAGAATTGTAAAAACCAGGACCCCACCTGTTTTCGGATGGCTTCCAGGTCTCTGTCCCGGACAAAATCCTCTCGCAACTGCACTCTGGTCAGTCTGGTGCTTCGAGGGTCTGAGAAAAGCTGAAAGAAACTCTCCTCTGGTTCAAAGTTGCTATCCGTGTGGACCAGCTCCATATATCTGGGGGGGAAAAAAGTAGAGGGTGTTGGGGTGTATGGGGAGGAAGAAATTACTCTCAGTGATTGAAAAAGTTTCGGTTTAACAGGAATCTTTTTCTTTTTGTCTTTTGTTTTACTTACGTGTTGACCAACTTGTCACAGATTTCACTTGGAAGGAAGATGTCGGAGCGCAGAGAGAGCTTGTTTTTGATTCCTTGATAACACATCGTCTTCCTTAAATTTCTGAGGCAAAAGACTGTCGCCAGCGTCATGAGGCTGTCAGGATTGTCTCCTGCCTTGGCCGCCATGATTGCCTCCTCTTCCCTGGGTCGAATCAAAGACGGAGCGGGACCTTTAAGGACATATATTGTGATATTTTAAGTGAAAAGTCACAACAAGGCAGAAAAACATAGTTTCAAGATCAACACAAAATGTAACAAAAACTCAATTAACGTGTCATTTTGACAATTTTTGTCTGTGTCGATAAAGAAAAAAAAAAGGTTATTTTGTCTGATATCATGCGATGGCGCTGATTTAATTATTTAAGATAGATATAATCTGAAATGAAAAGTGGGTTTGTTTTGAAAAAGAGGAAAGAGCTTAAATTCGTCCCTCAAGTGAAAGCAGCAGCAGAACCTGAAATCAAACATGTTTGGATCTGCTTCCACGGGTGTGAACACAGGACTATCTATGGAGGTTAAGACCTGAGCAGGTGAGCTTATTCTCTCTCTGGATATCATTCTCTCCCCTCATCCGCTGACAGATGACTCCCCCAAGTGGTTGTGACTCTACACTCCTTTTTAAATGTTGGAGCAGACTCTCAGTTATCTAAGTAGTGGTAATCCTAAAAGCTTGAATAAAGGCAACTGGACTTCCTCGCTCTTGAAGAGCTTTCCTTAATATCTAATTAAAATGTTCAGATCCACAATTTAAGGTGTGAATAGAATCTGTGCTTAAAAAATATAAAAATAACCAGACCCTGAACATATATATTCACTGAATGCATTATTGATGTTGTTAAAAATGAGAATCATAACTATATCATCAATTATCATTTGGTCTACTTTCACCATGGACATTTTAATAGAATTTCCCCAATCAGATCTTGCACATTTAAACGTTTGAGCATCTTGTTAAAGGGACTTTACGTCTAGGCAAACCTGTTAGCTACACTGCCTTTTGCACCTTGCTGATAGCAAGTGTCGTCCACCACTTTGCAATAACTTCATTATATTTAGAGAACCTTGTCGTGTCTCCCATCATTATGTCTACTTCTCAGTCGGTGGCGAGTTAATTTACCCAAGCCGCTTTGTCTTTTGGCTTCTAGTTTCTTAGCTAGTCAATGAAAGAAAAATGAATTCAGAGGAACACAGCAGAAAATTGCCAAGTTAGCAGACTAGCTAGCTAGCAGCCCTGTGGAATAATTGACTTTAACGTTGGCGTTAGATAACTACCGGCTAGCAAAAAACTATTCTACCGCACAAATGCTACATGTCAAAAAGAATAACACGCTGAACTCGTTATACGAAGGGAAACCTGAGCCCAACAAAGGGCTGTCACTAGTCCATTTCAATGTCTAAATTAGCTTGCTGCTAACGATGACTTTCTCTGCTATGATACTAGCCAACTTAGCTGGAAGGGCTAACGCAGCCGAGGGTAGCTAGCTCTTACTCCGGCAGCAGGCATTGATCGCCCGGGTTTGGATCCCTTACTTACCGACCAAAACAACACCTTGGCTTTCGCCAAGGCAATTTGTCGTGGTGACGGCGACAAATCTGTATGTTATTGCCAGTCTTCACTCATCTGATTTTCGGTTTCGTCCGATGTCAACAAACAGACTCCTCCTCCTCCTCTTACTTCTACTTCTCCTCCAATTCCTTTCCCCCCCTTCACTTGCTCCGGCTACTTTTCTCCCTCCTCTTCCTCTAGTGCCGGCCCAAGTAAGTCTC